CCTGTGGCGGAACATTGTATGTATAGGTCCACGTTTTTGTGTTGCCCCCATATAACGGTACCTCCCGATATTCGGTATTTTCATTATATTTGCCACATTTTCCACGGATTTGTCTAGAATCACATTCTGAGTCGATTTATGCATGTCCGTCCGTCCGCCTGTCCATGTATTTTTGTAAACAAAGTACAGTTCGCATTTATTGCCCTATCCAGATAAAATTTTGCACAAATCATTTGTTTGGCCCAAGGACGAACCCTATTGAAATTGGAGATAATCGGTCAAAATTTAGATATAGCTTATATATATATATAGATATATATATATATATATATATATATATATATATATATATATATATATATATATATATATAATATATATATATATATATATATATATATATATATATATATATATATATATATATATATATCTTTGTCCGATTTGCCTTTTATTGTGCACCAAATGTGTAATATCAGTCCGTATTGTATGGAATTTTGTACGTACGATAGATTGGACCTGAAAATAAGTATGCCAAATTTGATCGAAATCGGTTCAGATATAGCTATAGCTCCCATATATATTGTTCATCCGATTTGTTATTTTTGTCCTCCGCAGGCGTAATATGCACTCCGTAACAACGATATTCAGGGAAATATATCAAATACAGCTCAGAAATATCTTTGCCTAATTTTATCGAGATCGGTTCCGATTTGGATATAGCTCCCATATATATTTTTATCCGATTTCAAATTAATTGTGCAACAAATGAGCAATACAAGTCCGAATTTAAAGGATACAAATGCTTCGGCATATTTAGTCCTTTGAACTTTAAATTATAATTATAATCATTGCTTGTATGATTGAATTCTCCCGTAAAAACTTTTAATTGTTATGCGGAGCTCTACTAAATTAGCAAAGTGGTGTAGGGTACCATAAGGTCGGTCCCGCCCGACTTTAAGACTTTCTTTACTGGTTTTTTACTTGTTTTTAAGATAAATTATTTTCTGTAACTATTTTTTTTTTAATTTTTTGTGTGGCTGATTTTGACCAAATCGGATACTGCCTTCGAGAGTTACGGTGTGCACCAGCCAGATGTACTGAAACTGATTTGATCCAAAGAAACGATGAGCCATAAGGTTCAGGGTATAATCAGAGTAATTTATGAAGAATTTAGAGTATTTGACCCTTCCACCTCGATTTTTTACTTTCATTGTGTGCTGGGCATTTCGTCAAACATAAGGATCCTGTCTTTTATTTCATAGCAAAGTAAAAACATTTTAAACCTCTCGAGTATAATGAATGAGCTATACACGTCGTCATACAAACAGCTTACACATGCTTCAAAACTCAATGGCTGGTTGATAGTTTTCTTCTTGCCGCCTGCCTACTTTCCTAACAATCTTATCTCTATCTCTCTTTTATTTGCCATTATGTTGTCATTGGTTCAGCCACTTTTTCGTTCTACTCTTACCTTGAGCCCTCAAAATGGAGATTAAGTGATTTAATTATGTCATTAGGGACTTTATATAAGAGTTATCGTCTTCCTTGTGGTTGTTCTTACGCTCATTCTGCAAGAGGTAGTTATATAATAAATGGCATTAAAAGAAAATCATAAAGTTTTTCTTACAGTTTTTTTGGGATGTTATCCCACAAGGACATACCATTAGGAAAATATGCTGATATCATGATTTGTAACAATGCTCATATTTTTGAATGTTAATTTTGCTTTTTTATTTTGTTTGGGATATTATGATGTGTTATTTTTAATAGTGGCGCTCTAAGAGGTAAGGGTATTGAGGAAGTTAACATGCCTAAAGGACAAATGATGGTGGTCATTTATCTCTGGAAACACTAAATATGTCTTCCAAACAGTAGAATTTCCCATTAAGAAATGTTATTAAATAAACGTCACCTTCAGAAGATTTTAAACTATAGGTGTCTTTAAAATGGTCTTCTGTCTATATGAGAGCTTGAAAACACCTTCTATCTAAAGAGGTTTTCTACCTATAGACGTCCATCTAAGGTCTCTAATGATACAAAAAGTTTTCCGTCTCCCGAAGACTCTACAAATGTATTATTTTTCCAGAAGAGTTTCTGAGATTTTCAAAAATGTTTACCTATACAAGTCCTTGGAAGGTCTACTTTGGTTGCAAAAGTCGTTCATTATTTGTGGGCCCTTAGACGACAGTGGTAAATCTCTTATAAAACAGTTCCTTATTTTAACATGGACATGTTATGGGAAGTAAGTGATCATCGTTCTATTCTGCTAGAATTGAATTTATGTCTTCTCCTTCCGCATCTAGTAAAAATGTTACAAATTGAGAAATTGATAAATTTTCAAATATTTTCAGAGCATTAAACTTGAAAATCAGATTTTTCGTCGGTTGAGCTCCCGAAATGGTTTCAAAGGTATTTCTGGCTACGTCGGTGCCCTACGTCACTATAACTTGAGGGTACGTTTTTGTTCATCTGAAACCATTGTGACCCTCAGGATATTGGAATACACATTTGTATTTCTTAAAACATAACTTCAAATATAGGCGTTCATTCCACAATTTTTGATTGTTAGGGGTTTTAAATGAAGTGTTAATTTCCAATTTAAAGGTCGGAAGTTCGACAATCCTCTTAAGTCTAAACCAATATTTTCCTAGAAGATCGCTTCCATATTTCGTGGCAATTGACTTATATTTACGCCCTCTGACGTACACATCATGATATTTAAAGAAGTAATTAAGGGCTATTGCTGGACAGGGCTGACCATGTAATACCTAACTCCGCTTATAATTTACGATATAGGTTCGTAAATCGTATACCCGTTTGACCAGAATAAACAAAGCCCTCTAGATATTGAGATTAGATTCCATTTTAAGGTCATTGTTCTCATTATTACGTTTGGTTGAGGTTTGGGTATATATATATTTTTCGGCTGCCATATATATTTTTCGGCCGATCTCATGTATGTTATGCACAAAACTCGATATGTATATCCGATTCCAGTGCATTTGAATTGAACAAATTAATTTGAAATCGGTTGAGTTTGAATATAGCTCCCATATATATTCTCTGCCGATTTCACTTATTTGATGCACCAAGCACGTTATGTACCTCAAATTTCAATGAAATATGGAAGGTGTGACGGAATTTTGTGTAAAAGTAAATTTTGTCGAATTATATTGAAATCGTTTCAGATTGGGATATGATTTTATTAAGAAGCATTGAACCACAACGCGTTTGCAATGATATTAGGCTAACAGTAAACAAGTTAAAAAGCAGTAAGTTCGGCGGGGCCGAACTTTTAATACCCTCCACCATTTACAACGAATTTGAAAATTTTCAAAAAATAATATCCTTAAAAAATTCTGTTAAAATTTTAAAAATACCGAATATAGCCGTTATATTGGGGTCTATACGACGTGGACATACATAGGCATTGTTTGTCATAAGCCATTACCATATTCAAATTCGAAACTTGAAATAAACGGTGAATAATGTAGCTAAATTCATCAAAATATCGTATATAAGGAGGTGCCGTTAAATTTGAGCTGTGCGAAGACCTGGGTCAGCATAGACAATTTTCTGTCACAGGCTGTAGCATCCATTACGAACTTCAAATACCACATCTCAAACAATTTCGGTGCGTATTGTACCTAAAATCGTCAAAATACCGAATATAGGGAGGTACTGATATATGGGGCCTATACGAAGACCTGGACCCGCACAGACAGTTTTCTGTCACAGACTGTAGTTCCCATAACGAACTTCAAATACCAATTTTGAAACAATTCCGGTGAATAATGTCGCTAAAATCATCAAAATACCGAATATAGAGAGGTACCGTTATATGGGGGCTATACGAAGACGTGGACCTGCACAGACAATTTCCTGTCTTAACGTGTAGTATCTATTTTGAACTTCAAGTACCAAATTTGAAACAATTCCCGTGAATAATGTCGCTAAAATCATCAAAATACCGAATATCGGGAGGTACCGTTATATGTGGGGGCTATACGAAGACATGGACTTGCACAGACAGTTTTCTGTCACAGACTGTAGTTCCCATAACGAACTTCAAATACCAATTTTGAAACAATTCCGGTGAATAATGTCGCTAAAATCATCAAAATACCGAATATCGGGAGGTACCGTTATATGTGGGGGCTATACGAAGACATGGACTTGCACAGACTATTTTCTATCTTAGACTGTAGTATTCATTACGAACTTCAAATACCAATTTTGAAACAATTCCGGTGAAAAATGTCGCTAAAATCATAAAAATACCGGGCTATACAAAGACAGACAATTTTCTGTCTTAGGGTGTAGTATCCATTTTGAACTTCAAATACCAAATTTAAAACAATGTCGCTAAAATCATCAAAATACCGAATATCGGGAGGTAGCGTTATATGGGGGCTATACGAAAACATGGACTTGCACAGACAATTTTCTATCTTAGGGTGTAGTATCCATTTGGAACTTCAAATACCAAATTTGAATATAGGAAGGTAACATTATATGGGGGCTATATGAAAACGTGGACCTACATGGCCCATTTACGAACTTAACCTGCCTACTGGAAAAATAAACATGTGTGCAAAATTTTAGCCATCTATCTCAATTCATTCGAAAGATAGCGTGATTACAACAGACAGACAAACAGACAGACGGACATCGCTAAAGGTAGATTTTGATTTAAAAACCTATAGAACTCTATATATGGTTTACTTTCTGGTACATATATCTTCTATCTACTTTAACAATCTGCTAGATTTTTCCTGTAATTATTGAAAAAATTGAATTTTGTCGCACAGTGTTAATATGTTTTAATACTGCGCCCACTTGGATCCTTTCCACAGCTGGTTGTCGTTAAAATACCGTTTGTAATAATTTACAACAATTTTCACACATTTCCATTTCTGTAACAACTTTTTTATTCGTAAAACTAATTATAAATATTAAATAACTTAGATAATCTACTGTTTCACAACACAATCCGTTTAGCCGTAGAAACCGCCATAGTATCCACCATAAGGACGGCCGTAGAAACCGCCATAGGGACGACCGTAAAAACCACCATAGGGACGACCATAGAAACCGCCATAGGGGCGTCCATAAAATCCGCCATAAGGACGTCCGAAGAATTGACGGACCTGTCTGGTATTTTCATCGGCACTGGCAACACCGGCATCTACATCCAATAAATCGGCAACGGCTTTGTCACTATCCACTTGTTCGATGACAGCAGACCAGGCGAGGGCCAAGAAGCAAGCCAAAATAGCCAATACTACGAAAGCGCGCATTTTGTAGTTGGTTTTTTTTTTACAAATAAAATATTAAAATATTTTTTGTTTGAAGTCGGATTTTAAGAAAGTGCGTTCTTAACACGAACCCTTAACGTTTGCGTTTGATGAGCTGCTCAGCATCGCGTGTTACTTTTATACCAGGCGAGGGAAATGTGAGAAATTCTATTCGGCGTTTTGTTTTCTTTTTTTTTTTTTCTTTAGCTTTTTTGTTTCTTCTGTTTACGGCTGCAGCAGCCAGTGAGTGACCAGCCACAGCACGATCTGCAAAGTCAACACAAACAACAACAAAGACAACAAGATCAGCGCTGCTAATAACAAACAAATGAATATCTAATGCGGCTTAAACCATTTCAGCCAAAAAAAGTAAACAAAAAAAAACCAGACAACAAACGATTGATCTGTCGGTTGATAAATTAAATTTCAATTTTGAGTTCTACTAATGCCAATCAGCGAACCAGCCGGTGTCTGGATAGTGTAAAGAAATCTGGTTGTGTTTTTTTTTTTTTTTTTGAACGCTTCATTAGAACCTATCTTAAAATCGACATTTCTTTTGACCGTAGGAGGTTAACGTTGGCAGATAAGTATTTTAAACACACAAAACTAAAAACTAAATTGGCCGTTTTAAATTAAAACAGGCATGTAATTAACATCATACAAATTTGGCAAAAAGTTTTGGTCGAAAAATACCGGTTCAATGTACGCTGAAAATTTGTTGAAGGGCAAAGTCCGTTTTAGTTGTGGAAATTCCGAAAGAAATGTTTGTTAGCAATAAATTATGTTTTGTCGTCATTGTTTAAAGTAAAGATTTGTTTCAAACAACACCAGTTCTAAAAGTTTTACGCACGCTATAATTTTGGGATGCCCATTGTTCTGAAGAAAAAGAGCTAGATTTCAAGTTCTCTTAAACCGTTTCTTGAGGGAACGCCAAAAATAATAATACATTTTTAAACTCAACTACAAACGTATTAAGTTAGCCTACGCCGAACTTTTGATACCCTCCGGCATGAGGAAATGAAAACATTTACATTTTTGTACTATACATTTTTCTTTGCTAAAGCTATTAAATCTCAAAACGGTTGTAACATGTCTCTAAATCCGAAAAAATAGCTGGTTGTACCATAACGAGTGCTTTGGGCTATTATGGTAAACTAGCTGAACCCGAATATATGTTGGAAAATGTTTAAAAATTAAAAAAAACAAGTAAGCAAAAGCTACAGTCGAGCGGGGCCGACCGTTGAATACCCTACAACACTATAATAAACGATACAGTTTATATATATATTTCCAATTTAATTAACGAAATAGTCAGAAGTGCGTCTTTCCTGTATTTGTGAATTCTCCAAAAAGTCACTGGAATGGACATTTTCGTATTTTGTCTATAAAAGTTGGCAAACTCCTTCACACATTGAATATTTTTGGATGGCCATCCAAAACTGCTTGGCTTTTGCAATGTCCGGTAACCCCCATTCAAATGTGCGTAAGGACCGGACGATAATTACGACCTCCTGACAATTTTGCAGTTTTTTGGTCCATTTCAACCCCTAAATATATAGCGATCATCTCCAAAAAGGGTAGGCTTCTATTCTGACCCTCATCTTATCTCCATGCAAAATTTCGTAAGGATGGGGCCATACATGCGATCTGTATATGATATCCTGATATCCTAACTACTTAGTTTTGTTAGCTGTAAAAATATTACCAAATGTTTAATTCAAAATGAAAATATGCCAAAAATATGACAAAATTGAAAATATATGAGAAAATTTTACAAAATCAATATTTTCATCTTTAGAGAGATATTTTTATACGATTTTTAGACGTTTTTTCTTTCCTGTCAAGAGGCCATTCTGAATCAATGAGAACTGTCGAAATCAGTTTAGCCGTTCTCGACATATAAGAGATCTTTCAAGCATATCCTCTTTGATAAACATATATATCGCACATATTTTCCTATATATCCGTTTTGTTGGATGTTAACATCAATGTAAAGATCAGAAGTAACCTTGTCATGGCTTTGTGATTTCGCCGGGATTCAAAACATTCGCGGTTTAATGAAAAATTTTGAATTTTTTCAACACAAAAGATATGGTCTATTTTACCCGCTAAATATTATCCGAAGACCACCCAAATTACATACGAAATTCCGCGTCGATCGGTCTATAATTGCGACCTGTATAGCTACTGCAAAATCAGACAGTTTTTCAGTACTTGGTCCATTTCAACCCCTAAATATTATGCGATCATCTCCAAAAGAAATAGGGTTCTATTCTGACCCTAGCCCCACCTCCATTCTAAATTTTGTGAAGATCGGACCATAATTGCGACCTGTAGAGTGATTACAAATTAACATGGACAGACGGACAGACGGACGGACGGACGGACGGACATACATAGCTAGATCGACTCAGCTCGGCGAGCTAGGAAGATCCATATATACTTTCCTATATGGGAAACCAATATTTCGAGGTGTTACATAAATTCTGGCCCAATCAAACTTATAATACCCCCAACACATAGTGTTGTAGGGTATAAATATTGCACTACTTTAATGCGTTAATAAACAAAACCATTAGAAAAGCAGTAACATGACATGCATACACGAAGGGTTTGTCCTTATGGATTTATTTATTTCATAGCAAATACCAAGCGTGCAGGAAACTGCTATTTTTTGAAGTTGAGTGGCATTTCTATTGCAATTAGTGAATTCGAGGTAGCAACATACTTCCCCGTAGTAAGCGTATTTCAAATTAAATGTTGTGTTGTTTTTTAGTGTTAGCCTAACGCGTTGTGGGTCAATGGTTCTTATTAAAATCATATCCCAATCTGATCCGATTTAAATATAATATTAAAAATTTTTTCTTTTACACCAAATTCCGCCACAACTTTCATATTTCATTGAAATTGGTGCGTCAAATATGTGAAATCGGCCGAGAATATATATATGGGAACTATATCCAAATCTTAACTAATTTCCAATTCATTTATCACATTTATTATTGTAACCAAATTCCGCCACACATTATGAATTCCATTGGAATCGGTCATATATATCGTGTTTGGTACACAACATGTATGAAGTCGGCCGAAATATATTTGTTACCTATACCCAAACCTCAACCGATTTCAATATAATTTGGCAATTTTTTGTTCTGGTGCCAGATTTCGTCTCTCTCTCGCTTTGATTTCACATCAAATATGTGAAATCGGCCGAGAATATATATAGGAGCTATAATCAAATCTGAGCGAATTTGAATATAATTCGTCAAATTTATTTTTGTACCAAATTTAGTCACTCATGGCTAATTTCATTGGAATCGGAAATACGTATCGTGTTTTGTGCATCAAATATGTGAAATCGGCGGAAAATATATATGGGAGCTATATCCAAATCTGAACCGATTTTAATATAATTTGAGTAATTTATTTTCTAATCAAAATCCCGTCACACATTCCCAATTTCATTGGAATCGAACATACATATCGTGTTTGGTGCATCAAATAAACGAAATCGGTTGAAGATATATATTGAAGCTATATCCAAATGTGAAGCGATTTCAATATAATTTGACAAATTCATTTTTGCTCCCAATTTCGTTACTTATTTTAAATTTCATTAAAATTAGACATACATATCGTTTTTGGTGCACCAAATACATGAAATCGGCCGAAAATGTATATGGGAGCTATATCGAAATCTGAACCGATTTCAATATAATTTGATAAATTTATTTTCGGATCAAATCCCGTTAAACATTCCAAATTTCATTGGAATCGAACATTCATATCGTGTTTCAGGTATCAAATGAACGAAATCGGTCGAAAATATATATGGAAGCTATATCCAAATCTGAACCGATTTCAATATAATTTGGGAAATCAATTTTTTAGATAAAATCCGTCACATGTTTCAAATTTCATTGAAATTTGGGATACATAGCGTGTTTAGTGCGAAAAATGTTTGAAATCGACCGAAAATATATATGGGAGTTATATCCAAATCTGAACCGATTTCAATATAATTTGGCACATTTACTTTTGTTCCAAATTCCATTTGGAGACTGTATCTGGAATCGATCAATAGATATGTGCATACAAAATCTAAATTTTTGGGAGGTACCTCCGATTCTGATGCTATATCTCCACTTCCAAGTGGAATTTCACAAAATGTATATAGCCTATGTTACTTTCAGGCGATGTTGCAGTATACATGTACATTTTAAGGAAAATCAGTTCAGCGGCTTTCGAGTCCATAAATTACAAACAAGAAAACAAACAAACATTCAAACATTTTCCTCTTTTATAGATATAGATACATATGAGGAAATCGAAATAGGACATTACAAATAAAAGTAGCTTATAAAGAAACTTTGAATTATCTTTAAATACCAAAAATACTAAACAAATACTGCTTTCCAAACATATCCTATAGGTTCTAATTAATTATTATTCAAATGAGATATAAAGGGAATGACAAAGTAAATATGGGTTTAAAAACTAGTAAAAACAAGTAAAAAAGCAGCTTAGTTCGGCCGAGCCGAACTTTTAATACCCTTCACCATTTGGAAGGAACTTGAAACATTTCAACAAATTCCGAAAAATATTGTTTAATTTATGAATTTTATATGGGGGCTATAGGGAGACGCCGTCCTGCATAAGTAATTTTTTCAAAGGCTGAAGTACCCACTAAGATCTTCAAATATACAATTTGAAACAATAATTTCGCTATAATCATCAATATGCCGAATATAGTGATGTGCCGTTATATGGGGGCTATACGAAGACGTGGAACTGACGTGATGTGGTGAAAACTATTAAAATACCAAATATCGGGAGGTACCATTATATGGGGGCAATACGCCTGCTGGGAAAATACACATGTGTGCAAAATAGATAGCGTAATTACTACAGACTGACATACGGACATCGCTAAATCGATTATTATACTGATTCGGAATATATATATTTTGTAGGGTCTATAATGAATATTTCGAGGAGTT